CTCTTAGAAGAAAATTTTCATACAGCACTACATTTAGAAACTGTACGCCACAGGGAAAAACTGTAAGGGAGAAAAGGTTTATATTTACATACAGGAAAAACAATACAGAGCATTAGTTGGACATTCACTTTACATTTAAAGTTTATACCATTAGTGTGGGTGAGCTACTGAACTGGAGAGCTCTGAGTTTCTCACAAAGGTATATTAGTGCAGGCTCTAGTTGGACTGCCGAACTGTAGACACCTTAGTTCTGTCAACCAGTACGGAAGCTGTCTGACAGCACTGATTTTGACAGATATCATTTTAATAGTGCACATTTCCTTCAAGGCAAGTATTTAGATGAACGGACACAGCTTTGCTCTTAGCCTTTCCATTCTTGTTGGAAGAAGACCCACCATCTCCTTACTGAGTTCTAGTTCAGTTTCAACAGCACGGACAGCATCTGGGTACTTCTCACAATAGTCTACCAGAAATGTGTAATATTCCAATGATGTCTGCATATTTTCCAGTTGCTTTTTGCTATCTGAAGTAATAAGCTTACCATACAGTCGTGCAATATGAAATTTAGCCACCATTGCAGGGCGAAGAACATCTTCCTCGAGCTGTTCAGGAAACACCCTATCTGGGTTCCTCAAAGAATCCAAGAAGAGTTCATAATATTTGATCGCTAACTGAGCCAGAGAATTAATTTTTTTAATTGTGTGGGAGTCTAGCTCCTCTAACCTGTTACCAATAGCTATCTTTAAATCCATCATCTCGTAATAGGTGTCAGCTAGTTCAAACTGAAGCTGCCTACTAATCAACAGATAGTACTGAGGATTCAAGTCTACATATATAGACTCCAGCATGTCTAGTCTACGTTTGTGCATTTTGCAACGTCTCTCATAGTCTTCTTCAAAGAAAGCAAGTACCTTAAACAAAGCACTGTGATCCTGAACAATTTCTATGTGGTCAGTAACATAACCATCAACCTGAAAAAACTCTTTTGCTTCCAGAACATAGTTCTGACCAACTAGGAAGATTTCTCTGGCTTCTTGAAAATCTAAAGGATATACACTGCTCACTTTCTCCTCCATGGCTAAGACAGAGTCACATATATCACTCGTGCCAAAAAGGACAGCTTTTTTCCTGCCCTTCTCTTTTTCATCCTCTTCTTTTTTCCTTTGGGCTTTAAGTTCCAATTGTCTGTCTGGATCCAGCTCTCCTATGTTATCCTGAAATGACAAAGCATTCTAATTAAAAATGCATGTGGCTTACGAAGAGTGACTTACACTGAATCATTTTATTTATTAATTACTTTTGAAATACAAACTAGTTGGCAACAAGACAGAAGAGAAGACACATTGGCATATTAGACCTTATATTCACAAAAAGTCATGTAAATTACAGTCTTGATTCTGTAAAAACATAGGGCTAAGACAATTTAGTCTCCCTGTGTGACAATATAGTCAAAATAATACATGTAAAGCCCAAAGGTCCTCCTTCTGCAAAGCATTTCAGGAAATGCTGTTTTAAACATTGGAATGACTGATTAATGAATGAAATGAACTCCTGAATGAATGAAAAAATCAGCATACAAAACTGTTGCATATTAAGATGTTCTTACTAGCAGTTAAATAAGGAATAATCTGCCAAATCAAGAAAGCAAGAAAATGCAGCAGAGAGGAGGGAAATTCATGGAGTGGCTGTACAAGCAGTGCACTGATCATGCTACAGAACAAATCTCCTATCTGTACTTATTTCTAAGGGCTGCATTAAAATCAAAGCATACTACGAAACACCTGCTACATTGCAAGAATTTATTATACTATTCATTGAGCAATTGTTTATTATTTGCTACCAACTATGAATTGTTTCCTGTTACAAACATCAAAATAGACTTTGTTTTTAAACAATGACAGGTACAGAACAGGTTTTTAGTTACCTCAAGTAATTTCCGAGCACTTTGCAGGAGATTCAGGCAATACTTAATCCAGCACCTTGCAATTTCAGCTTTTCTCTGTCGAAGGTCCTGTTGGTCTTGCTCCATTTCATCTATCGAATGTACATAAACACATAAAAATCTTAAGTGAAGTCAAGCACTCCAGCAAGAACATCAAATGTTACATATAAAGAACAGGTTACTTGTATTTAATTTTTCCTTGTTCTTAGACAGAAACATCTTCTCCATGTTAGTTTGTATAATAATTCTGTGAACTGTCACGCTGATAGAAAAATCATACAGATTAACATGGATCTGTCGTGCATTAATTCTTCCAAAAAATAGATCATAATGTATGCTTAAAAAGACCTTTGATCACGGAGGTGTTTTACTGGAAAAAAGATTTTCATGTCTCTTTGTGACAGGAGAAAGAAATCAGGACAATTTGTTTTCTGAGATTCAGCTGCCTGCCCAGTAATTGTTTTTGGGGATGATCAGTGCATTTGTATTGCAATGGGCCCCAGACTTGCTACCAAAAAAGGGAACAAAAGGAGGTGAAACTTTCTTTGGTTAGTCTACCTGGTACCGATATAAGTTTTATTAGCTCTGCAACTTCTGTATTTTGCTCCCCACTGGTACAAGTAGCAGCACTGCTGATGTCTCAAGATAACGTTTTCAGAAAATGAATGGATTTGAAAGAGAATTCATTTCCCAGTCTCTAGGCAGAAGGCAGCAAGTCAGCTGAACAATGAGGGGACACCAGCATTCCTGTTCACCAAATAAAAAGCCAACTTCAGACTCAGATCCACTGTGTTCATTATCTTTCAATAGAGACAATCAAGTAGTTCTTATTAAGGAAGTGAGAACTGTTGCTAATCTAAGAAAAGGCACCTTTACTAAATATCTGTTTATATTCCGATTAACATCATAAAATGAATGTACTTGAGAGTGGCCAATGCTGACTGTGTATTAGTCCTTTTGTAAGTTAGATCTTTCTGCAAAATCATTTCCGAGTCCACAGCCCAGCTCTCTGTACCATGAAAAGGAAGGGAAAATAGGATAAACGTTTACTCCATTGAAACAAACACAAATATCACTACTCCCACTTGGTGTAGGAGGAAGTCAAGATAGAAGAAGTTAGCTGACTTGATCAAAAGGCACACGAGAAATCTATACAGTACAATTAATATCAGGACTCTCATCTACCACTTCCAGTCTTGCACCTGAATTTGAGACCGTAACTAACTATGTTTCTACACACCTACTGAAAACATAACCTCAATTTTTGGCCTAAGTATCATATTAATGAACTCTGACAACTGTGCTACGGAAGGCCATAAACACTGATTCAGACCTACTGAATATTTTGTAATATACTGTTTTCAGCAAAACCTGACTCTTGAAAGCCCCGTTTCCCTGAAACTGAAAAGCTTTCGGACGTCATCCTCAAAGTATTTAAATAGCAACAAAGGCAACTGCATAGAGTTCTATATTTTTTGAGCTAAGAGAAATACTACAAGCAATTAATTTAATGTACCGTCAGTGAAGTTCAACTAAGTAAAACTCAGTTGTGTCTATTCAGGTTATATTTTAACCTGAAATAACAACATCAGTGGATTAAACAGCTTGTGTTCTAAACAGCTCAAACAATTACAAGGTAACCAATATATTCACTGTTCAGAGTTATGAACTCACACAGGGGCTACCCTGAGTACTTGCACGCTCTCTACGAGTTAAAGCTTGATTGATTTGAAGCTTTCAGTTTCCCAAGACACCAAATGTAAAAAGCTGTGCTGTAGATAAGCAAAGACTAAGCCTAAGACAGATGACTTATGTTGAGTACTGACACTATCATGTAACCACAGGCCCTTAAAATTGTGGTCAGTTCTCTAAAAGTTTCTTTTATTGATCTTTCCGCTGAACCACAAAGTTGTTCCTTTGCATCAATACCCAAAACAACAGAGAGGAGCTACAACTCCAAAAATACTTGTTAATGAGGCTGCAGCATCCAGCAACAAAAGACAATACAAGGAACTTCTGGATTTGGTGGTTTTAAAAGCTGCATTTTCCCCTCCCTCTTTTAAAACTATTCCCAGGAAGCATCTCATTTGGTTCATTCAATCACTGCCCTCACAGAGAAGCAAAGGTAAGCTGCATTTTAAGCCCATCTTCAAGGACAAGTGTGTGAACAGAGACATTGCCACTATTGAAATGGATATGGTTTTACATTTCACTTTTATTCCGGTATGCTTTCTGAAACACCAGCACGAAGCACTTGAGTTTTGCCTCACAGGGTTTATTCATAGCCAGTCTTAAACTGTAGTAGCACCTCTTCAGAAACATCCCACTTTACCAGCTTAAATTTTGTACATGCTGCTAAACTTCACTTCTAACATTACGTATCAATGATGCTTAATTCACAATATTTTATCAAAACTTTTGTATGAACTTACTGTCTTCAGCAGATGGCACCTGTCCAGCTTGGCTAAAGATGACACTGGCTGCTGCTAAACAGTGGCGGGCCTCCATAAAGCATTGCTGAGAGAAACAGAAGCAGCAGCGTTTATCACTGGTGTAAGCAGCCCAAGCACTGCTCTGAGCTTGGCTAAACCCCCCGCCTCAGACAGTACAGACATATGAACACAAGGGAAACAATAGAACTGAGAAGCTCTGGAGCAATATTCCCCTGTCCACTGGAAGAAAAGACACAATTTTTCCACATCTACTACTGAATACAGTATTTTCTAACCAATCATTTTCTCTCTACCACAGCCACAATAGCAAACCTTGCTTTTGATATCGGATACATACATTGTGAACATTTTCACTGTTCTCATCTATGCTACTATCGCTTCCTTGTGGTAACGGAAGTGATGTCTTGTGGTAAAGATTGTATCACAGTGCGTTAGTCGGAGTGAGCTAGACAGGCAACACAACATTATGAGTCAGATTTAGATTCCTTTACTCATATTTGGCAGTGTGTTGCCTAATGATTAGTGCTATCAATGCGCCAAAAAGACATGGCAATTACAAGTTACAACTGAAATTATCATTAACTGGCTTAGGTATGGCAGAAGTCTTAAGCACCAGAAAAGAGCATCCGAAGAGTCTGGAATATAGAAATTCCTAAATAAAACTGAAGCATTTCCTAACATAATGGATTATTTAGAGTCAACACAGATGTGTGGAAGCAAACAGCGACCATCTTACATATTTGCTTTAATGTTCACACAGACTCAAACAAGCCTTAAGCACATGCTAATGTTTAAAAGACAGTCATTTACAGGAAACATCCATGTGCAATACCTTGGCCCTCGGATGTTTCCAGTTTCAAACTCTTTATTATAAGAGAACAATATAATTATAAGAAACAATTTAAAATTAAGTGATTATAACCTTGAAGTGTTACTTATGAGCATCATGTCACATCACTGCTGATACTTCATAAACTACAGAGCTTTTCTTATGTCTACACCCCTTCTCATTTTTCCCATTGCCATCACAACACCACAGGAAAGCCACTACGCCGCCTTCAGAAAAAACTAACAGATGTCAGAAGACAACTCGTGGTCTTATACGAGCGCATTTTTAATTCGACACAGAGCCCTGTCTCAAACAGCTGTTTAAACAATAGTCTTACTTGATAGTTCTATTTATGACATATATACTTAATGTTTTCCTGCTGTAATTTACCTTAGAAAGGTAGTACTGTGACAAAGTAGCAGCATTTAGTGCCCATTCTACTGGATGGTAGCCGCAATACTCAAGCTGTCGTTTAAGAGTAGTATGGCAATACTGAGCAGCCTTCTCAATCATGTCCAGGTGTTGGTAGACTTGTGCCAAATAATACAGAGTATGCGTATAGGCTTTTTCAAATCTGGAAAAAATAACAGTCTCTTTAGATTTCTTCTTTCCCCCCCCCGCCCCCTTCCTAAATACACCCTCAGAAATTATAAAAGTAATAACAACCTAGGTATGCGACTACAAACCCACCTTTTGGATCTCTCTTGGTCTGTGATTTTTTCTTCTTCTGCCATGAAATGTTCACTGGGATCCAGGGGAGGATTTCCATCCTGGCAAGAGTACATGATATATTCAGTCAACTACATTTCTCTTACTTTGTAATATAGTGCTCCCTCTTCTGGCTGCACATGATTTACCACTTTTCAATCCCAAATTCAACAAAATTTCATATAATTCATCTACACCTATCTCAAAGTCACATCTCTGCAGCAATTCCACAAAACTCATGAGATTTGGAGGATGAAAGCTGCAATTCCATATGGAATTACAAGGTTTCCAGCTTGTAGAAGACTTCTGCTTACAGACTTTCAAGTAATGCATGCTGCCTGCACCAGAAATACTCAACCTGGATTCTGCAGGACTATAATTGGGTGTCTTTATTTTGTACAATAACATGATGGTTTTTAAAGCATCAATTTAATACTACGTGTGCCTTCAAGTGCAAAGTATTCGTTTGCCCAGCTGTACTAATCAGTAACAAGAAAACATCCTGCAGGAAGCTCTGCAAAGAACATTATGTGCAGAGAGTGCTCAGCAGACCTGCTGTAAAGAGTTACCACTGTGAAATGACTTTATTCACAAACTGGTAAGACTATTTACTCAAATATATGAATAAGAAAACAGGCAACGTCTTTGAAGGATGAAGCTGCTAAACCTTGATGTAAGGCATGACCTACGTGCAAGTTATTAATGATGTGAACTACTTCATTTAAAAGTGCTTTTTTGTTTTTTAAACCATGAATTCTGTCAGAATCATTACACAGAGACAGATCCTGTGACACATACAAAATAGCTTATTTTCCTTGATCAAGAACGGTAAGTAAGATATTGCTGTGCACACAGAAGTAACTCTGATTTTAAACTTACTTTTGCGCATGCTGAGACATTAATTTCCGAGATGAATGCAGAATGGTGACAACTATACATCTTTCAGCAGCGGTCTGTTCAACTTTGCCTTAAAACAACTGTCAATAAAGTTAGCCAGCATAATTGTCAAGCCCAACAGATTAACATGTCTTATGGCAAAGTTTTATTAGTCTCTGCTTATCTAATTTCCTTTGGAATTGTGAGTAAGTTCAGATGCCAATTCTAAAACACTGCAAATGAACGTGTCTTTCTAAAGGTAGCTTTTTTTCATTACACAGTGCATCCTGAAGGATGGTCAACGTATCTGCTAGCAACCCAGCCCAGTTTAGCATGCAACTTTCCTAGCTCTTTCCTAACCCCGTTTATTTCTTAGCCCAAGAGACAGTAAGGCAGCAAATAAAAAGCAGTCCAGAGAAATACTTTTCATAAGATAATACAGACTCAGGCAGGAACAGGAGCATGGGTAGAGAATGTATTCACTTTGTAGTGAAGAAAACATAATTCTTATGTTTGTATTTCTTCTTATTAAAAAATCTTGAAGGGATTTGTTTGCTTTTAATGGAAACGTTTCATTCATCTTCAAAGATGGACAAAGGGTCTGAAACAGGTAGGGACAAATAAATAAGAGTGTTTAACCTACCAGAGGTGTAGATTTTTACGCAATCTTTTAATCTTTAGGGTTTTCTTTTTATACCTCATTATTTTCCAAGATGCGGATTTAAAACCCTCCACCTAGGTTTCTGTAGAGATACAAAAGCTCACAACCATACAAAGGCTCCCAAACCTTCCAACAAGATTTGCCGTGTATTCTGGCAAGACTATGACCTGGTATTTCTGATGTTAACAAAGAAAGCAATTGAAATGATACAGTAAGCAAGACCCTTGTCTCCTTCCTACATCTACATATTTATCTTCTGATACCAAGCCTTATGCCTTTAATCATCCCAAGGAAGAGCTCTGCAACTCTCCTCTTCCAGGTGGACTTCATTAGCCCAAGCTCCTGCTCATACAGTTGAGCACCCTCAGATTTTCACGGTATTGCACTGAACAATCAAACAGCTTTCCTAACAGCAAGATGTTGCTACAATAACTAATTATGTTTTGAAAAGAATTTAAAAATAGATATGAACTCAAAGCATTCAGGAGCAGAAAGTAACACGATCTTTTAACTCTACCAAAATATTTTTTGCTTTCAATTGCCTTCATTTTTCATCTTTAGGGGGAAAAAACCCAACACCACCAAATTTAGCAAAGTTAACTAGACACAGTTAGTAAATGTGGGAATATACGGGAAGATTGGCCAGGAGGATTGTAAACACACCAAGTGACTGGCAGCTGGGTTGTAGAAAAACACATATATCATACTAATCATTGTTTAGTCTTGTGCGTTTGACAAGTACAACATCTGTGTTTAGATAACATAAGCCTGTGATAGATTTCAAGGCACCCTATCGAACCTGCCTGAGATTCCTGCCTTGCTGTGGGAAAGATCAAAGCACAGTGGTAAACTACACATGCATAAATCCCTGCTATACGGGTGAAAACAGCAGGTTGGGTGATACTCGATCACAGACTGAGCTCCACGGTGCCTGCATCCCCCACTTGTGTGCCCGGGTGCTGCTGCTGATCCCCCAGTTGGCGAGATAATGAAAATGAATTTACTCTTTGCATTTCATCTGTGGTTTGTGGTGGTTCTCACACAGTAAACAACTAAATCCATCAGTTCAGGAAAATGCCTCTATCATCAACAGTTTACCAAAGATTCCCAGAGAGGAAGGCTTCCTGATAGCCAACTAATGGGGGATGTTAAGAAAAGTATATTCACATTTTTATAATTTGTGAATGATGAATGTTGACATGGTTGTATAAATCCTAAAGATCAAACACCACTGCGAGGAACTCAAGTCCTCTTTATAAACCATAAAGCAGTTGCACAAGCTCCCCCACACCCTCTGTTTTTGGGGTTGGGGTATTTTTTTTTGTTCATTCTTTGCAGATTATGTCAAACAGTTCAGTATTTTCAGAGAAACATGACACAAGTCCAATAAAGTTACCACAAAAACAGCCTTTTACTCTAGTTCATTTAGGAAAAAACCAACTCTTTAGGCATAACTATGTTTCACTATATTATGCCCTGAAAAGTAAGTGGCAAATAAAAAAATGTTGGGCAAAAAATGTGACAAGTGATCTGATGTGGGCTTATTGACAGTCATGTATGTATACCCTAGTCAGAAAGCAGAGCCCCAGGAGGAGCTAACAAAAAGTAACCGTTTCAGAAAAGCTCACAGTGAAAATGTGAAGTATTTGGAAGCATTGTTTAATCCACCGAAATTAAATCGTCTGTAGAGAGATGTAGTATCTCTTGTTAGACCAACCAATCCAGAGGGCAGAAAATAAACAGACAAGCTTTTCAGCACAAAAAAAAACCCTGCTCCTTTAATGCCACAAATGTTTTAGCTCACTCATGAACTGTTCTGAGGCAAGTCAGTGTAGGAACAGCTTTGCAAAAAGCTTAAAAATAGCACAAGGGAGTCTTTGTTGATACACAGAAGAATCCACAACTCAAACGGTTGTTTAATATGCATGAGAGGTTTAGCTGTTTATGAGATTGTCCCCTTGGATATGGAACTAAACTACTTGCCTCTACAAAATACTGTGCACAGTCAGAGCAAACCATGCAAATATTAGTTTTGTTTCCTTTTCCCACTGAAAGCAATGGATTGACATTTTACAGTAGTTCCAGTCTTAATTAAAAGCCAAATCCTACCTGGCTTCAACTTTGGATTATCAATTCAGAGCTTTCAAAAAGGACCATAATTTTTGAGCAAAATTATTTTCCTGAATAAGTCCTTTTTGAAATTAGCGATCGATCCTCTAGCTTGCCTCTTCCTACATTAGCAATACAAATCACTTTTGAAAAGCACCACAGCAGCCAGCATAAAGTGCAGAAACTCAAGTTCCATCGTACTTTTCTTTTTTTTTTTTTTTTTCAAAGATTACTAAAACTGTAAGTGGCACACAAAAGTAAGACCTGCTACAATATCAATAAATGCAGTACCTCTTTCATGTATTGATTATACAAGGCTTCTGCAGATTCCAAGTAAGTTTGCGCAGTTTTAATTTCATCCCTTAAAGACCACAGGATACCTAGATTATTCTAAAAGTAAACAGAAAAACATATTAGTTATTTTCTCATTATATTCCATTTACGTTACACATTTTTTCCAAACATTTTATCAGTCCTCATTCTTATAGATATGTGTTCTAATACAACGGAAAGCAAAAAAAAAAGCAAAAATTGTGCCCACCCATTTTATTGTGAGTTGCTCAAACGGGAGGGTTCTCACACAGTGGCAAACACATACAAAGGTCACCTCACGAACTGTAACTTTCTGTGTTTACTCTGCTAAATAAGGACTGGTCTGTTCAAATAATGAGCTTATTCCATACAGTATGTTCTGCATCTGATACATGCAGCTTTTACATCTTATAGAAATATCATAAAAAGAGCCAAGGAATTAGAAATTTGTCATCATGACTGTAGAAAAATTTAACAGGAAAAAGATAAGCTAGGAATGAATGCTTGTATATTTTCAACAATGAACAGAGACTAAAAGAACCATTAAGACGCAAAAGCTACAGATTACTGCCTTTAAATCAAATTGTAGCAACATACATAGTAACACTACTGCATTTGTGAACCCACTTTTTACAAAAAGTGCCTCTAACTTTATTAGTGAGATGAAAGCATTAATAACAGTCTGAGTCTGATGTGCTCATTTCATTCCTAGGCAGTGTTATTATGAAATCCAACAGAGCTAAAAAAAACACCCTTCAAAAGAGTTAGAATGTATAGTTGTGTGCCAGCCCTGTGTCCCTTTCAATTCCATTTATTTTATTATTTTTATACAAAAGCATCACATAGCATGATGTTTATGAACAGAAATACTTTGCCCACGGCTGAGCAGTGGAATGGACCAAATTTTATTAGACAGAAACTGATGCACATTGTTATGCAGAAGCTCAGAAATTAGAAGTAGGGCTACAGAAACAGGCCCAGAAGGAAAAAGGAATGCTCCTTCTTTCAAAGTAGAAGTTGGTGCCGTGACAACATACTCTGTACGTCCTAGAACGTGGAGAAGTAGGGCCACTGTTGACAATTACTGCTTTTGTATCAGAAATGTTTTCAATTAAATACTCAAGCCTTTTACAGCCCCTGGGATGCAAAGCTGAGCTCATTTACCATCACTGCTCTCAGCTGCCCGCCTGATGGTAGTGCCAGACAAGAGTAGACCTGTTTACTGTTGGACCACAGCACCTCACATGTGCAGCGCAGAAACTTTATCCTGCTGTTTCCGTGCAAACGTTTGTCCAATAGAGAGAAGTACTGCTTTCCAGCACACCCATTCAAAAGCACAGTGGAATCCCTGGCCCTCATCCACAAAAGCAACAACTCCCCAGCAACACACACTGGGAAGATGTTATCTCATTTTACGGGCTTTTCAAGCAATCTCCAATCTTATAATGGGTAACAGATTTGTAGCGGTGCACCCAACCCGTCAGGCTGAAGGACAACAAGTAGATGCAACCTCACGAATTCCAGACAACTCAGTTAGTTTAACCAATGTAAGAAAAGTCACTGTTTAACTAGCACCTTTTCACATGGACACGCAATTCCTTGACAGTTTTTTCCCCCTTTTCCATGCTTGACAAGGAAGTACTACTGAGCCTTTTCTAATCAGAGCAGCCATTTTTGACAGACACATCTAAATAACAGCTCTATTTCATTTCAAGCCTAGAGATAGATATCTAACTATACAACAGCTGCCATGATGGAGCGGTTGAGCAAATGCCTTTTTATGAATCTTCACATGGTGAGAACTAATTTTGTTAACAGTATTACTTTCTTCAGAATAAAGAGGTGAATATTATTACTTCTACTTCTGTATTTACGCATCTGGAATGAAATATAGTAGATAAAGAGATACCAGGAAAGGCTGAAAAGCAAGCAAGTAAGCAGTGACTCTGGAGAACAATTTACCTTTTCAGGATACTGCATAAATAAAAGCATCTCCCAACTTTACTTTGAGAAGAAATGACAGTTAAGGAATCACGAGTAAGTTCTGGACATACTAAGGTCTTCTACTAATTTATTCTTGCTCAGTTCTTACAAGTTCGGTCTCCATATATGCCGAAGTGCCTTGTCAACACCCAGTTTGAGGAGAACACACTGTTAGATGCTCTGCAGGCCCGGAGGCATCAGCAGCGAGCTTGAACGAGAGCAGCATCCCTCCGCAGCCCTCACCGGTAAATTACTTCTTCGAGCGTGAACTAACCGCCAGCAGCCCTGATGTTTATTACTCTAAACATCCGTGCCCATCAGGGGATCGACGCGCCACCAATCTCCCTTGCCCTACGTGCAGAGACCACGCAGCACGGCCCGCAGACCCAGCATCCCCCACCGCCTCACACCCCCCAAAGGCACCGCGGCCTCCCCGGGCCCCTCAGCGCCGCCGGGGCAGCCCACACCGCAGCCGCCCCAGCCCACCTGGGCCTGTATGTAGAGGGAGACGCAGTCTGGGGAGAGGCGGGGGGGGTCCAGGAGGTGCGTGCAGC